CGGTCAAAATTCAAATTTGATCAGATTCGCATGAAACTTGTTACTCGGGGGTTTTTGTCGTCGCTGACTAAGAATCTGATGTTACTTTTTCAAAATTCAAAATGACGGATCCAGTATGGCGGTCAAAATTCAAATTTGATCAGATTCGCATGAAACTTGTTACTCGGGGGTTTTTGGGGTCGCTGAATAAGAATCTGATGTTACTTTTTCAAAATTCAAAATGGCGGATCCAATATGGCTGTCAAAATTCAAATTTGATCAGATTCGCATGAAACTTGTTACTCGGGGGTTTTTGTTGTCGCTGACTAAGAATCTGATGTTACTTTTTCAAAATTCAAAATGGCGGATCCAATATGGCGGTCAAAATTCAAATTTGATCAGATTCGCATGAAACTTGTTACTCGGGGGTTTTTGGGGTCGCTGAATAAGAATCTGATGTTACTTTTTCAAAATTCAAAATGGCGGATCCAATATGGCGGTCAAAATTCAAATTTGATCAGATTCGCATGAAACTTGTTACTCGGGGGTTTTTGGGGTCGCTGACTACGAATCAGAAGTCACTTTTTACGAATTAAAAATGGCTGTTCCAATATGGCGGAAAAATTCAAATTTGATCAGATTCACATAAAACTTGTTATTTGGGGTTTTTTGAGATCGCTATTTACAAATTTGAAGTCACTTTTAAGAAATTCTTGCTTTCACTAATCTATAATGTAAATAATTTATTATTTTTACAAGTTTTAAGCGAATTGGATCATATTTAAATATTTTATTATCTATTTTGGATCCGACATTTTGAATTTTTAAAAAGTAATATTAGATTCGTAATCAGCGACTCCAAAAACCCGTGAGTAACAAGTTTTTTGACAATCTATTTTGGATCCGACATTTTGAATTTTTAAAAAGTAAAATCAGCTTCGTAATCAGCGACTCTAAAAACCCCCGGCTTACAAATATTATTCGAATCTGATCAAATTTTTAATTTTGACCGCCATATTGGATCCGCCATTTTGAAATGTTTAAAAATGACTTCAGATTTGTAATCAGCGAGCCTTATTCCTCTAACTGGGACCGTTGAAAGAGATTTACTTCGCGTGCCACATTAATAAACAAATTGTTTAAATAAACTAAAATGTTGCAAGGAGCTATTTTTTTAATTTTTTAAAAATATAAATTCATAATAATGAATAACTAATTAATAATTATAATATACTATAATATAATAATATGTAGTAGTTGAATAAACTGAGACTAACAATTTGATTGTATAATACTAGACGCAAAATAATAAAAAATAATTAATTAAACTTTTAATATTAGGGACCGTATTTGTTCTGTTTGGGACCCTTATAAGGGAATTACTTCGCGTGCCATATTATATTCGAAAATGTGGAATTCGGTCTCATCAATCGGGCCGTATTAGGCCCTGATAGGGAAAACGATATAATTTTTTGTTGGGGAAAACTGTTACGGGCCACAAAAGAGCCCTATTATTATCAGGGACTATAATGTCCCTCTGTTATAAACTCATTTTCCCTCCAAGAGAAATGGCACGAATATCTGTCAATGGTGTATTTGAACATTTAGATTGTTATCCAATAGCTAACTCTCAAATATGAACGATTTGTTCCTCCAGATGTTTAGTCCAATACTCCAGTTTTCTCAGTGTAGTTTCGATTCCATTGTGGGATTTTCAGAGCCCCTAGGGTCGCCTGAGTATCCACACAAATACTTTGTTTATATAATTTGTGTATAATAATTAAACGATTCTCTTTAAACATTACATAATATTGCTGCAAATGTTTTGCGTTTCTACTTAAAAGCGATTCAAAAATTTATTTACCAAATACATTTACAAAACTTTGTACTTCAAAAACTAAAAGAAAATTATATTTGTCATTATTCCAAACAATATACAGTCAGGTCTCCAAACTGTAACATTTGAAACTGCGACAAACTTCGAACTGTAACAACTATTTAAGTCCACATGACTTGAAACTGTAACGTGTCGTCACAGAACGCCATCAACTATCAGTGTCGTACTATACTTTTCTCTACACGGAAAAAATTCTGGGACATTAGATGCGCCGAGGACAGTGTCAACAGCAGTACATTTCATTTTGCACGTCTGAGGTGCCATTTCGAGATATCAGACGTACATAATGCACGTCAGATACTGGAGTAAACTGGCACAGATGGCGTGCAAAATAAATGTAGAAGAAAATTTGACACAACCTGTACATCTGACGTGCCGATACTTTTTCCGTGTACTAACTAATACAAATACCCTCTTAGAACACTAACTTCGTATTAAAGGATTTGCTCTCTTAATTTGAATCAGTTAAAAATCGTGGTTTTAACTGACAATCAGTGACTGACTTTTTGCTTCTAAATTAGTTAAAAATAACTGATTTTCAGTGAAAAAATAACTGAAAAATTAGTTAAACTTGACTAATTGAAACAGTCAAAGAAAATTTACTGAATCATCAGTTATTTTTAACTAATTGTCAGTAGAAATATTACTAATTGAATTAGTGACTGACTTTTTGCTTCTAAATCAGTTATTTTTAACTGATTCAAATTTAGAGAGTGGAGATATTCTTGAAAATTATTATTCACAATAACTACATGCTAATAAATGTACTTCTAACGCTTTACATATAAAGTTACACACCTTAAGTAGTCATACTTGTACTTATTATTACCATGGCCCACACACAAAATTTGTGCATGGACGTCTCTGAGAAGGGGTGTGTTACAGTTTCAAGTCCAGGAGTAGGATTAATTTTAGGCAATGTTGCAGTTTCGAGACCTGACTGTAGTTTAAACGTTTGTGAAACGTTAAACATTTTTTTTGTCTTAAAGAGCAGTGTTTAAGCTCTCATTTCCTTCTATTTAGACAATTTTATTCCGTCGCATTATTGTTTACAGTTGAGCGGACGGAAAGAAGAACTCGCCAAGCGCGTGATCGAAACGGATAATACCAGTCAGGTAGCAGGTGTGTGGACCAGAGGCGCTCACTGATACCCGACTGATATTATCCCCTACAACCGCGCGCTCGGCGAGTTCTTCTTCTTCTTGTTGTTTATTATCAAATAAATATTTACTAGTATCAAATAATTTTTATTTAAACCAATTAAATTATATTTGCTTCAAATAATAAAATTATTTATTGATTCAAATGGAATTAAATTAGCTGAAATAAAAATTATTTGATTTAAGTAAATATTTATTTAATAATAATACAAGCAATCGGTTCTTTGAATCAAATCTTTTTTTCTTGTTTAAGTTTGATTTATACTTCTATATTTTAGAGTTTGGAGAGTTTACTCGGGTTAAAAATAAACAAATTTTATTGAGAAAAATTTGTTTCCTGAACTTTTTAGAGAAAATTTAAAAAAAAAATTTTTCATTGAATCAACGTTGGTAACTTCAATTTCATTACATTTGTCATTTATAATGTTTTTTTTACAAAACCCTAATTTTTCAGAAAGAAAGGAAAAACTTAAAATAAATTTTCTTTTTAAATGACAACTAAGTAAATGACAATAATATTCCAAGTTTACATTAATATTTTGAATTTCTTTTTGAGTTTTTGTAATTTGTTACTTCAACAATAATGAATAAAAACATTTAATAATTTTTTTAGATTAATAAAGATTTTTTTAATTAATTAAAAAATAAAAAGAATATCTATTATATCAAAAAAACAAAAGCTTACATAAAAGTCTAAGTTCAGGTGTCGACAGAGATCCGAAAATCTGTAAATACCACGATATAATATACATAATAATATTAATTTTATTTTGTATATAAAAAAATTAGTATCTAAAATAATTAGTTAGAAAAATAAATAAATGAATTTTCAATTTCATAAATTGATTAATAATACCTAGTATTTATTAAGAATTTGTATTTTGGGCAGTGCAATAAGAATATGAATATTTTACTTAGAAGTGTATTTATTTTAAAATTTAATATGGGAGTACATACCTTTTCCATTTTTGGAATCATTTACATTTGAAAAAGGCTTAATAAAGTAAATGTCTTCATGTTTTTAATTACACTTTTGCAAGACTCCCCGTTATGTCATAACGGGGAGGTAAAGTGTTACTTTACCTCCCCGGTATTGTTATTATTTGGTATCAAAATTTTATGAAAATATGACCAATTATGAATCGCAAATGTCTGTCAAACAACCAGTAGTAACTAAACCACCAGTCACTATACTGTCATCAGTAATAACCACACTACCGCGTTAGTTCTTTCGATATACGTGTGTTAGAAAAAATAGTACGTGCATCTCGGGAGAAATCACTCGTGAAAATCAACCATTTTCCTCCCTAGATGCACAATATACTATTAAAGTATGATCCTAAAGTTCTGAACGTTCAAATGAACGAAATTGATTTATTTCTTCTTTAAATTCAATTTTGATTACAATAATTTTGAGTCACTATTAAAAAAATTAATTTTTAAAGTTTTTAAACGTAAAATCTAAGTTTTAAATTTTTATTCGAATCAGTAATTTATGAAAATATTTTTAATATAAAATATTTCGTTTATTTGAACGTTCAAAATTTGTGGATCATATTAAAGTACGTAATTTTAATATAAATTATTTTTTATGTATAGAAACCGAACAAAAACGATTTAAAGAAAATAAATTTTTACGTGTCCGATAGATGATAATTCTTATTTAAAAAATATAATAATAAATAATAATAATTTACTAACTGATAATTTTTCTCAATGCATAAATTTTTGTCTTCTCCCAACTTGGGACAAGAGGGAAAATAATGGGTGTGAAACACCTCATCCGACCGGCTTCACAAAACAAAACCATGTATCAGCCAGATTAAAAAATGGTCCAAATCGTGGCTACAAATAGCTAGACTTGGCCTCGATCGGACAAGGTTTTTCATCCCAGATTGAAATCAAGTTTCCAGTTTCTTGTTGACTTACTAATAGACTATTACTTCTCTTTTTTCCGCAAAAAGACGGATGCATTTCAGGCAGCGGTAGCAGCTGCTGCAGCTGCAGCTGCCGGAGGTGGAGCACAGCAACCTGCGCCAACACCAGGAGGCAATGATGCAAGTCCGGATGCTGCAGAAGCTGGGAGCTTAGTACCTGTAACTTCTGGTGCAACAACGCCAGCCACAGTGACACAAGGAACAGACCTTAAAGGACAACCGAAACGTCTTCACGTTAGCAACATACCTTTTCGCTTTCGAGACCCCGACCTTAGGGCAATGTTTGGAGTAAGTTGACAGTTTACTATGTTTTTTAATTTCTTTATGTTTAAAAATGTCTAGGAAATTGTAAGCTTGCAGTTTTTCTTTCCAATTTCAATGAGATTAACAAGTTTCAGTTTTCCTTATTTTTTCTTTATTATTATGAATAATTAATTTAAAATATAGAATAGAATAAATAAATGTATATTAGGGTGTCCGTTATTTCCCAAGTTAGCTGGTTTCATTTGGGTATCGTCAAAATCGTTTCTTTTTGACCTAAAAACAATTCTATAAACTAGAAAAAAATTTTAAGATGCCGTTTAACCCTGCCTAAATAACAATACTTTTCCCATTTAATTAACATGGGATTTTTGCACTTTTTAGAAAATAATTTTTATTTTGTTTATAATACTCTTTGACTAACCAACAATGCTTGATTTTGCTTCTATTATGATTCCTTTAGATAGAGAAATTTTCATATTATCGCGAAAAATTTATTACACAAGTTTTAAAAAGGTCAATTTCAGTTTTAATGATTCTTCTGATTATTTTGCTAAACCAATAAAAAATTTAGTGTATGTATGTATATATGTGTGTCGGTATGTCACAGAATTTTTGTTCGCGCATCACTTAAAAACGGCTAAACTGTTTGAAACCAAATTTGGCAGAATGTTAAACCTTGGGCCAAGGAAGGTTGATATATTTACAGATTTGAAAAATATTAATTAGAACGGGAGATATTCAATTTTTTCAAAAAATTCAAAAATCTAAATTTTTAAATTTTACATTTTTTAAAAAAATGCTTTCAAGCTTTCTATAATTGAGTATAACATGTTATTTAGTCACATTTTAGAATATTTTTGCCAAAAATAATGTCCTATAACTAAGAATGTGAGTATAAAAATGTTTTCAAAAAATTCAAAAAATCGAAAATTTTCAAATTTTATATTTTTGAATGAATTGCTTTTAAACTCTGTATAAAATTGAGTATTACATGTTATTTAGTCAAATTTTAGCATAATTTTTTCAAAAATACTGTCCTATAACCAAGATGTACACTGGAATCTAGATCGGTGAGCTCGGGATCGTTGAGACTCTGTTTACATAGTTTGTAGGCGAGGAAAGGTGGAGGGCTAGCGGGGACTTTCAAATGTCGATCAATACCGTGCCTAATTGTAGAATAAAAAGGTTCTCAATGCCCGATGCTATTTATTTCATTTGATAACTTCATCATTATTCAGTTTTTTTTCTTTTTAATATAAATACATTTTATTTTTGTATAATATTTTGTTATTTATATTAATTTTCTAACATGAATTATTTTTTAAAAGAAAGGTGCAAACAAAAAATACTTCGTACAGCCCTGTTTGTATTGCTTCTTAGTCTCAACTAATCCGCTAGATCGGTGAGAAGCCATCGCCGATTAGTCTCACCGATCTAGATTCCAGTGTAAGTATAAAAATGATTTCGAAAAATTCAAAAAATAGCAAATTTCCAAATTTTATATTTTTTAATGGACTGCTTTTAAACTATCTATAATTAAGTACTACATGTTATTTAGTAAAATTTTATCATAATTTTGCAAAAAATAGTGTCCTATAACAAAGATTTAAGTATAAAAATGTTTTCAAAAAATTTAATTTAATTTAATTTTTTTTTATTCTATTTATTTTTTTAACCGATAAATAGCCGGGAATTTAATTTGACTAGGAAAAACCGGGAATTTTCTTACCAAATTTAAAAAGTTTTATTATATTAATTTGTTTTTAAAAACTACTTTTTACTTTAATTTTTATTTCCAGTCAAATTTAATTCCCGGCTATTTCCCGATTGGTAGACACCCTATCAAATGTATTAGCAGAAATTAAAACCCGTCGAAGACGGGTCCGACAGCTAGTATATAATATAGGTAATAATTTTTTATTTAGTTTAAAAAATTTTTCCTTTTTTTCAGTCCAAACTCCCTGTTTAAAAAATTGATTATTTACTTCTTAATGATTGTAGTTAATAATTAACAAATTTAATTTAATTTAAATTCAAATTGTTTTAAAATTTTATATCAATTTTAATTTCAATTATTTTAAAAATACTATATTTAAAAAAGTTTGAAATGTAGATTTTTTAAAAAAATAAAATACATTCAGAATTTTAATTAGAAAATCATATGAAAAAATAATAGTAGATTTGTTTACACGTTCTACTTCTGGGCCAAACTGGAGGTGTGTATATTTACGTCCCTGAAAGGTGCGCAATAGGCATAATTTGAGCACATAACGCAGTGTTGAGTTTGGAGAAGTGGGAAATTTCTGGAAATCCCAGTAAACGAAAACTAATTGAAATGAATTAAAAAGAATTCACAAAGAGCTTTCGTGAATCCCGCTTTGTGACAAATACGAATTGGAGCCATGATGCAATTTTCCTGAATTCGTGAAACTGTATTGAACTTCCGAACCTTCTATCCGTACCAATTCACTGGACAAGTTTTGAGCCTTTAATTTTTTTCAATTCGTTAGCACGAATTCAATGCATTCCTTGGCCATTTCTTTCGAATGCGAATTCGTTTGGACAAATTGGTACATATTGAATTAAATTCAATTGAATATACAAAGAGCTTGAGTGAATCCCGCTTTGTGACAAATACGAATTGGAGCCTACCAAAAATGTTAATTCGTTTCAATTCATTTGAATTAGTTTTTTTTTACTGGGATGTAACAGTATTTTTGGACCCGACTGTATAATAAGATTTTAAAAAGAACCAAAGCATTGTTTGGTATTAAAATGTCAATTTTGTTTCCAATTTGAAATTGTTTAATTCATTTATTATTCTCAAAATTAGAAAATTATGTTAAATTATTATACTTATAAATATGTGACGCTCCACGAGAAAAGGGACCTTAGCTGCAAAAAAATTAATTTTGAGTTATTTATATCATTCCGTACTTTTTGAGTTGCTCTTTCATATACAAAAGGCAAAAATAATTTCTACTTACAGGTTTTTTTGTTATCAATGTTTAAAAATGAACCTTTTGAGTGTTTACACCCGGTTGTTTAGAAAATCAGCCCCTCTACTTTCTAACACAACTAAACAGGTTATGTACGTACAACTCATGCGCTTCGTGTAACATGGATAACTATCAATGTGAAGTGAGTAGTGGGACTGAGGGTACAGTCCCATGTTGAACAGAAAACACAATGCAAAGCAGAATTTCGTGAGAGTGGAAAGGATAGTGATATCTGATTATCTCTCTTGCACTCACGAAATTCTGCTTTGCATTCTGTTTTCTGCTCAGCATGGGACTGCACCCTGACTTTCAATGAAACGTCTTGACCAATCAGAGTGGTTCCACTTTAAATGCCTCTCCTGCAAAATTCGTCTGTAAGTCATAAGGTCCCTTTTCTCGTGGAGCGTCACATATAATAAAAATAAGAAATAAACAACTGAAAATTAATATTAACTTTTTTCAATTAATTTATATTGATAAACATTTATAAATTTCTTTTATTATTTCTTTCAAGTATATGTAATTGTTGAGAGTTACCGAGAGAAAAATCTTGGTTCGGAAAAATAAGTCTGAACTCAAAAGGAAAACAAAGTGAATTAATTTATGAATTCTATAACAAACAACTGATTTATTTTAAATTGGCCATACACAAAAAACACTATAAATTTATAATATTGTCCTTATACATAATGAAAATATCCTTGATTACGTCATGGATTTTCACTCAAAATAAATTTAACTCGTGTGAGAAAATTGAGAATAATCGAGTAATTCTGAGAGCCTTCCAAAAACGTTCAAGACACTTGAGAATTTTATTTACTAGTGAACGCGCGAACGTCCATCGACAACAGGGAGTAAGACTAAGGGCCAGTTTCAGATACAGATCTAATTCAATCTAATTAGACTCTTTCAATAGTGCAGTTCTGAACAGTGCAGTCATTAGTGAGTTGAGTAGACAAGGAGTTTCGGGGGGTAAAGGGAAAGGGAATCTGTGACGTCAAATACAGTGCCGTCGCTCATTTGATTATTTAGTGTCATTTAGTGGTGCCCGGTATTTAGTAGTGTGGGACGCTTTATTTCCTTGACACGGACCTGAATTAGTTCAGTCTCCTTAGTCTTACTCCCTGGACAAGCTTGCCGGGAGATGCTGCCCTCGCGCGGTCACTTTGATCGTTGATTTTAAATCTCGCGCACAACACCAAACTTCGTTATAGACACGTTATAGAATATTCAATTCACTCCGAATTGAATAGTAATAAAAAGCAACGTTGGCAAAGAGCGTTGTGAATTTGGAATGGTGGTAAATTCAACTGATGCTAAAGTGATTTGAATCGACTCGAAAACTTTGTTATTTCCCGGTGTTTTTTTCTTGCTATTAACAGTTACCTTTTTCAAAGAAGTTGACCTGAAGTAACGCTGACTCCTGGAGATATCCGATAGATCATTTTTGCTAAAAAGGAATCCGCGATTTAAATGGAAGTAATGTTACATGTTCCGTATGAAATTACTGGTAAACAAAAATTCTGCGGAATTTCCGCAGATTTCACCAGTAACCTTTTCCCGCTGGTTTATAAATATATTTATAGTTATTTTATAGTTAAAAACCTTAAAGTTGGAAATGTATATTTAACAAAATTATTTGAGTAAAAAAAGTAAATTGGAATTATCCAGTAATTTTTTATCATTTTGAAGAGATGAATTATAGTAGAGATTGCGGGACTGGTCAGTTTACATCGCTGGCATTAATCGTGTAATCTATTGGAACAGAGCACAAAGAACCACACAGTCCTCATTTCAGTTGCATAAGATTTCTTGCGTTCAAGCTTTTTGTTAAATAATCTGAGTTCATCTGTAAAGCAAATGAAGAGAATCGGAAATCCTGATAAAGTTACCAATGTATATTATAAATTAGTAATAATATTTGGGAAATTTTAAGAATTTTCACCTCACGGAACCAGAGATATTTGCTATCATATTTGCGTTTTTTGCATGCAAAGCGGGGGAAAAGATAAATTTATTGTCTAT